AAGGAGAAGCAGGCGGTGTTTGTTATACTGGGCCAATAAATAATTTAACCCCCAAATGGCACGTCTGGAGCCTGTCTTGCTCTTTCTATCACTTGTGCAGCGAGTCAGCACCTGACAGAGATCAGTTTAAAAACCCTAAACACAACATCTCACATGTGTATGCTGACATGTTTTTGAGGTCATGCAAACCCACTACCATGCCTTGCAGCCCTTATTAAATGTCATGACCCGATTCAAATAAGAACCTTTAGGATATTTTCAGACGACACATTGGGTGTGTGGATGGGGCTTGCGTCGAGACGCAGAACTGCCAAGGTCTGTTGGCCTCTGAGCAGGTTTTGAGTACATTTCTTTCCAATTATGGTCTATGAGACCCATAAACCCTACTTTTTCAGGTAGGAAGCTATTCTCTCTGACTCATACTCGACCCATGATAGCACAAGCCTGATGAATCTTTCCTGTTTAGGCGGTAATCACCCAATGCAAGAGAGGTGGAAGTATGAATCCTTGGGTGTATCAGTGTCCAATCTTCGGTGGGCCGAGACCTAGGCAACGAAGCAGGATGCGACTCACTCAGGGAACAAAAACTAAGTCATGGTGGTATATTGGGTTCTCGCCTATTATACATCTGACGCTTCCGCACTTCCGTAATTAGATGGAATGTGGTCGACATTTTTATGAAAACAAACCGGAAGGACTGCAAAAAATCCTCAACGTTTGCTTGCACTGTCCGATATCTTGATACCCTCATTATTCCTCTGAGATCTGGTTACTGGTACGTGTGCTCTTTTGCAAGTAGCTGTAGAGAATTTCAGTGTGAGAACGTAATATGCCATCTCAGCATTTATCCGAGTGTTCACCCCCTATCGCGCTATCTTTACCGCTGTTTAACCCCACCCATGAAACACGTATTACACGATGATCTGATTTATGCGGAGTCGCATACTGCGTCCTTGCCGAGACGTATACTAAACCCTAAAGTCGGAATGTCCCTCTTTTCTTGCATCATATTGTGTACCAGACGTTACTAGCTAAGTGCGTGGAGTGTAGGCCCGCACAAACCTAACGGTAGCCATAAAAAGGGGACATGAAACATGTGTAAAGTGAGGGTATAACGATGCCTAGCACTGTGTTTCCCATCTATCACTTTCTGTGAGTGAAGTGGATAACAGTACCGCTGGCAGCGATTGCACGTGTATCCAACATACGGTTCCCCAGGTTGCGCGGAACGCACAGCACGAAATGCTGTTTTGGCGCCTGATTCGGCGCAAGAAACTGCAAACTCTGCGCTTCGCATGTGCGGTCCCCACGAGGCCTAACATGTATTGATCACTTTACCGGCCACATCTTATGGCGGCGATCGTCACGTGATTCATCGATCGGTTGTTATTTAAAAGGCCTGCGCTGGTGAATTATAGCCTGTCGCTACGCGATTGGTCAACTTTCCTTCCACATGATCGATGATATCTTAGACCCGCTCGTCCCGTGACCATCCTGAGCGGTCGATCTTATGAGGAATTGGCTTTCCAACGCCAATCAACTAGTGAAGGACACGGGGAACTATGAATATGCCCGGTCATATAACCACTTATTTGGCGGGAAACGCAGTCTACAGGCCGATATCACACCGCCTTATTGTCAGATGTCCAATAATAACGTCCGGGTTACTTGTACGTTTCTGCCTCAAAATGCTTCATACACGGCTGTACAACAGACTTAAGCCATTAGAAACGGCCTTGTGTATAACCACCCTGCATAACAAAGGCCTCGGGGAAAAACGACTTCCTGGTATCAGTCAGCTCTGAATCGACTGCTCCCAAAGTCAGAGTAAAAAAGATGAAGAGCGATATAAATTAGGCACAGCCAATAGCTTTATTGCTCCGAACGCACAACGAAAACTAGGTAAAAGGGTGCGTAAGTTAGGTGTAACAGGGATTGTCGAGCCTTAGAAGGCAATACGGGACAAACGGGGGAGGAATTTAATGCATCACATGGTCTGAGCAACAAAATGACTCGATGAAAGTTACATGCTTACGGGAGATAACCTAAACAAAAGGCCAAATGGACCAAAAAACGTATGTATAAGTAGGTCAATTACAACAACAAGTAACGGTAGTACCAGTACCATAAACAAAAGTAAAACGCATCCAAATGAGCGTCCGTTAATGTGATGATGACGGTAGCAATGATTGAACAAGTAGTCATAATCCAGAATGCAAAATCACAGAAGGCAGGTAGAAGTGGCGTCTTGAGTTCTTGAGGGGCAGTGTGGGGGAGGGGGAAAGAAATCCGTCACTCACCCACTATTACTGTACATTGGAAAGAAGACCGTTCTTCTTCCGGAGGTGGATCAGAGCGTGTCGCCGCAGATCATACATCCGCACAAAAGTTGCAGGGCATTCCTCACAAGCGTAGGGTCGCTCTCCCGTGTGTCGACAAATGTGCTCTCGAAGCTTATTCAGCTTAGGAAAGATCTTTTTGCAACCCAGCATGGGACAAATGTGCCGCCGCTTGCCAAAAGGTCCTGGAATAACAACCGCCTTCAGTGCCATCGCGGAGGCAGAGGGGGTTGCCGAGGCCTTGCTGAATCGCGAGGCCGGACAGTTCTTGATTGTAATTGTTCCGTTTGGAGCCGGTGTTGGGGCTGTGGTGGATCTTGCTACCACTGTCACCGTCGTTGGCACAGTCGTTGACAGTGCTGCCGTTGTGACCATTGAGGGTGGTGGCTGCGTGTCCTGTGGCGAAGGGAGAGGCGCCGCAGAGGTCTCCTCCGGTTTGGGCACAAAAGTCGCCGGGTCGGATTCTGACACTGAGGCTACTTCAGTGCTCGGTACAACAGGAGTGGTCGGGGCCGGGGGCGGGGAGGTAGGTTCGGGTTTAGTGACGAGTTGACTAGGACTGACAATCGCCGAGACCGGAGGAGAGGAGGGGGCCGGAGCAACTGCGCCAGTGAAAGGGGCGGGTACAGTTGTAATTGAAACAATCGCATTCTGGGGAAGGATTGCACCCGCAGGAGCAACAATCACGGCGGTTTCCGTCGGCCTTGCTGCGGAAACTGGGAGGATTGTCGGATACCGCCTTTCGTCACTCTTCAGAGAAAGGGCGAAATGAGTGAGCTGATGCCTCTTTAGACCGTAGAGGCGAATGAAGGAGGCGTTACAGCCGGGGTGTTCACAGACATAGGGTCGCTCTCCTGTGTGTGACCGTACATGCTCCCGCAACTTGTTAAGTTTGGAGTACGCCTTCCCGCAACCAGGATATGGGCAGAGGTGCCTCTTCAGGGGATCCCCACTGGTGGGAACGAGGTGGACCAATTTGTGGCGGTCAAGGTCACTAGCACAAAAGTACTTTACGGAACAGCTCGGCTGGTCACAGTAGTAAGGTCCTATGCCGGTGTGCTGACACATATGCTGATTCAGTCGATGCCGGCGAGCGTATGAGCGATTACAGTTGGGGAAAGGGCAAAAATGTCGCTTCCTCTTTCGGCTGGGGGCCTTTTCTGATTCGGCATTTCGTGGACTGATTTGACCCCCCTCGCCTTGAGTAAGCTTCTGCCCCGTGGACGTGCCCCCATCCGATTTACTTCCGTCCTGTTTGCTCCCCTCTCCTTCCTCATCCTCATCGTCATCCTCATCATCATCGTCGTCATCCTCGTCGTCGTCATCATCATCCTCCTCCTCCTCGTCGTCATCATCATCATCGTCCTCCTCCTCTTCCTCCGCCTCCTTACCATCCTCATCCTCGTCACCTGCATCGTCAGCCGCTGTGCTAAGGTCGGCTACCGCCGAGTCATCCTTTTCTTGTTGCTCCTCGGTGAGCAGAGCTAGCAGCGGACCTCCACCGTCAGTCTCCCGTTTTGCCCGGTGAACACTGTCATGCTCAGTCAGGTCTCTTCGTCTCTTGAAGCGCGATTTACAGCCACTGACTGGACAGACGAAGGGCCGCTCACCAGTATGGGTTCGGATGTGCTCGACGAGATTGAAGTGGGAGTAAAACGCCCGACCACAGCCCAGGTGGGTGCATCTAAAACGCTTTATCCTATTGGTTGTACTAGTAGTGGTCGTAGTAGTTGTTGTAGTTGTGACAGCCAATGGAACCGCAGAGGTCATCGTGGCAGAAGTAACTGGAGGCGCAGCAGCCACCGCGATGACTGAGGGGGAAACGGATGAGGGGACCGCGGTTATGACTCCAGAAAGACCAATGTGATCGAGCACTCGCGATGTAGCGGCAGTTCGGGCGGCCGTAACAATGGGAATGGGGGTGGATTGGAGAGGGGATATGGTGAGATTAGACATAGTAGTCCCATAGGCCGACACGGAGGGGAGGGGAATTGTTGAGATGGTGGAGGGCACTGAGTCCGTCTTGGCCTTCTCCGTTCCGGTAACTAGTTTCAAACTAGCCAACGGGATGACAGAGGAGACCATTGGGGTGGAGGATGAAGTATTGATCTGACTGATGAGACTGGTCAATATGGGGTTTGTGGGTGTGGCTGAATTCGTTCGGAGGTTGGCCAGACTGGGTAGAGAGGAGGAGAGGGTGGAGGCCAGGGAGGTGAGTGCCGACAGCATCTGGGTAAGTTCTGATATCTGTCCGGCCATATTCTGTTGTTTTTCGACTGCTATCGACTGGGCCAATGAAAGCATCGATGAGGAAATAGAGTTAGCCAATTGAGTTAACAGATTGGCCGTTGCACAGTTGACAAGGACTGCTGAGAGGAGTGGGTTAGTGGTGATTAAATTTTGTAGATTGGTCGGTTGTGGGGGGCCATTGGTGATTGGCTGACTGACACCAGTTTCATCCCGGACGGCGGCGCCGGTTGCCGAACTGTCGATCGTGGTGATTGGAGAAATCTGAGAGACGGTGAGCGGCGAGGCCACAATGCGGGCCGTCTGGATCCCATTCAGAGACTGGAGCATAATTGACTGGGGGGCACCAGCCCTTGCCTGAATTGGGGTTTGAGCCTGGATGGTGTACACGTTGGACGAAGCGACAAGGAGTCGCGCCTGTGGAACGTGATTTGCTGCTGCAGTCGTATTGACGGGCGTCAGAGCCTGAAGAGACGACTCAGAAGTCACCACAGGCACGGAAAAGACGGGTGTAGACTTCACGGGCTTCGCACTCAGTGCGTGGAGGATCTGGTTCAGCAGCACCGGGTCAGTAGTAATCCCAGTAACCTGCGTTTTGGCAGGTTTATCGGCGGCTTCCTGGGGAACGCAGGGTCCTCCGTTATTATCCTCACCTGGCTTGTTTGTTTCGGAGTCCTCCACGGTCATTGGCGCCGCACTGCCTTCCTCATCTTCAGCAGCCTTAAGGCGGTCCTCGTCAGGATCGGTAGGTTCCACGATGACAATGGGTTCGTCATCCGTCATCTCGACGTCTAAATCGGCCTCGAGGGCCGGTGAGGGCTCGAGCCTTTTAGGTGCGATCAGGACGGGTTTACGTTGTGAGTGGAGCATAGTGGCGAAATGCATGCGAATGCGCGTGTGTACATGTGCACACCTTTGCGCTGTTCTAACGCACCGCCGCCGTCTACTAGCGCGACTACGGGGTAATGAACCTCGACGCTGTTGAGCGGGCTGTCTTTATCCCAGGCAGTCTGTCGCTCCACGAATCCTGACCAATCAAAGTGCGGCCTTGACGTGGGTCACTCACGCGCGTGTGGAGCGGACGACTACAGAAGAGAAGCGTGTGCACGCGTGCGTGCGTGCGTCTGCGCCGCTGCGGGGTGTACGCGCAGGACGCGACACGTGCGAGCGCAAGCACTCGCGCGGCTACCAGCGAGCGTGGGAGCGCATACAGACAGACGGCAACACGTCACATGCGGGCCGCGGCGACAACGCCCGCGCCGTCAGCCCCGCGCTCTCTCGCGCGCACACCAAGTCATGCACGCACGCGCAAGACCTCGCATTGCTCTCATGTCGGGTCCCTCTTCCTCCCCCACCACTCCTCTGCATGCTTCCGCCATGAGGCTCGCCGGCCTACAGTCGGCCACCCGCCGGCCCGTAGCGGTCTTCTGGCTTCTCGGCCGGACCACCCACTCCTCCCAAACTTGGCAGATGAAAGAAGGACAGAGCGGCAGAGGATTGTCCTTAATTCGTCTTAGGAGCGCCCGTCTTGGGTTAGCTAAGTGGTC